CCAGCACTGTTGTGGGGGTTTCGGTCCCCAAAAAGCTTGGTGGGTGCATGCCCTGCAACTGGACTAAGAGCCTCGGGAAATCCTGGTTTGGTGCAGGCAGAGCCTGCTGATGAGGGGGAGGTGGAGGTGGAGGCGGGGGAGGCTGTTGGTTCTGCTGGCTGTTGCGGGTTTGCCTAGCCATAGTTCTACATTGGAAATAGATCGAAAAGTTTAGCACATAAATTAATATTCTAGAGTTTCTCACAACACTAGAATCCGAGTTAAACTAAGGTGGATAGATCCTAAGCCCCAATTATCAACCAAACATATCTCAAGCAGCTCAAATTCACAATTCATACAATAAGTATTTTCATTGATACTTATAAAGAGAACATACCTTAAGCAGTGCGGCGTGACGAAGACGAGTGGTCAATACACAAGGTCTAAATCACATAAACAAGTTATTCACATATAGACCAGTCTACAGAAACGCAGACTGACTCTGATACCAAACTGTAACACCTCACATTGATTTAAAGAAATCCCGGGCTTTCTAAAAATCAGAACAACATTTTTTTTTTAAATTCGTTTTCGAAAACTAGGGCATTATCAAAAACATTAACTTAGTCCAAATCTCATATGGACCCATGGAGATTCATTACCCGATTTTCACAAGGTTTTCATTAACCCAATTTCAAACAAGTCGCACAATATCCAGCTTAATATAAAAGCATGAATAATCAAAACCTTATAATTTCAAGCAACATGAATATTCAACAAAGGTCTAACAAAGTATTCCAAACCAATATTTCAAAAACATAAGTTTCGAAAAGGTTTTCATCATGTCCAAACATAGTTCATAGTAAATGCGGAAGCAATAATAAATGAAAGACCACCAACTGCTTAACCTGCATCCATCAAGAGCAGGTGGGAGTGAGCACAAATTAAACCGTAGTGCTCACCACTATGCACGTATAACACAATGATAATAATGTAAAGAAGGTATGGCTGCAGCATGAACATAAATCAATCAACATGTCACATCTCCAATCAGAAACACCAATTTCATTACTCATGTGTACACATCTATCATTAGACTACCGCTGGCCTGTTCGAGGGCACACCATGTGACATAGCTCGTCAACCAAACAGTAGTACATGTCGAAAGCACGCTATGTGACTTAGTTCGACATGCATATCGAAGGCACGCCATGTAACTTAGTCCGATATGACCTTTCATTAGGTCTTAGGGAGACTTACCTCCCAAGGGTAACCGTATTACATCGACAGGGACAACTGTACCGGCGGCCGAATCGGCTCACGCCGATAGGTTACATGGTTTACATGCATACCTAGATCATACCAACCCAACATAAACATAAACATATACGACATAGCAAATTTCATAAGAAAAATCCACCTGGTATCTTGGGAAAGCAAAAGCACAACAAGTAGTGACGTAGGTTGAGTCTGGAATCCTCAAACACATACAATTAGTCAAGATACTATAATCAACACCTATCTTGACCTTAGAAGGAATACACAAATCATAATTAGGCGAACTTGATTCAACTAAGTCATTCGTGGAGTTTTATGGACATTGGAACTCTTGGAACCTAGAACTTAGACTCGACTCGAAACCAATCATGAGGAATACACTTACACGATAGTCGGGCTAACGAAAGAATTAAGCTCTAAAATTTTAACACAAAATTAACCTAAATGAACATAGCAATATCAAAATGTTTCAATCCTTAACTCAAAATACACGATTTTATAAAATTAAACCAAGTTTTCAGCAAAAACGAGCACAATTTCAATGCCTGACCAAATGAACGAGTTAACACTAGAAATTTTTACACAAGAAACTACAGCATGTGAGGATTAACATATAAAATTTCCAGCTCCAAACATCAAACATACGATTTATAGAAAATTTGACAATATTCAGCAGAAATCTCGTTTTAATTAAAAACCAATCATAACGAATATAATAAGTTTTGATAACTTCATGCCACACAATAAAACATAACAGGAGCATGCAAACCAAATATCAGCAATTTATAGTAAGAGGCGAAATTAAAAAATTAAAACAAGATTCAGCAGAAAATTACAAATAATTAATTACCATAGCAAACAAAGTCCAAAAATTATAAAATGTTTACACAACATCCAAATATGACAAAAGGACAACATATTCAAAATTCAGCCATTTTAGAGCACAACTCGATTTTATGTGCAATTTACAAGTTTCTACCCAGAAATCAAAACAATTATTAAAATAGCTACTGCTGGAATTAAATCATGAAATTTTTACACGACATGCATGATCATCAGAGAATATCATATATCAAAAATCAATTCATTTGGAGCAGCATGCGTTTTATGATGAATTTAACTGACATTCAGCAGCTAGTCGACTTACAAAAATCCACACAAGACTTGAAACAACACATTTTCGTCCACGGCCTTTTCCATAAGGCCAAGGACTCATCCAAGTTCCAAAATCCACAACCCTACATGTTTTC